TGGCACACCAGTGTCTCACTCCCGATCCCCGTACTCACTGGCACAGCAGTGTCTCACTCCCGATCCCCGTACTCACTGGCACACCAGTGTCTCACTCCCGATCCCCGTACTCACTGGCACAGCAGTGTCTCACTCCCGATCCCCGTACTCACTGACGCATCAGTGTCTCACGTCCGACCCATGTACTCACAGACACCGCAGTGTCTCACGTCCGACCCATGTACTCACAGACACAGCAGTGTCTCACATCCCGATCCCCGTACTCACTGACACAGCAGTGTCTCATGCCGAACCCCTATACTCACTGATGCAGCAGCGTCGTGGGATGCGGCGTCTCACGAGGCACAGGCAGACGACGGCCGCGATGGCCCCCATCGACGACAGCGCGGTGACATACGGCGCGTAAGTGGCCATGCGGCCCAGCATCCACGCGACGAGCACACCAAGGAAGCTGCCTGCAAGCCCGCCGACGGTCGCCGCGAAGCCATACACGCCGACCGTCGCCGCGTCGAGGCACGTCATCGCCGCACACGGACGTCTCACTGCGCGAGAATGAGAAGAGAGGGGGGATAAATAATGATGAGTTGTTCCTTCTTCTCACTGCGCGAGAACGAGAAGAGAGGGGAAATAATGAGTTCTTCCTTCACTTCTTCCTTCTTCTCACTGCGCGAGAAGGAGAAGAGGGAGAAAAATAATGAGTTCTTCCTTCACTTCTTCCTTCTTCTCACTGCGCGAGAAGGAGAAGAGGGAGAAAAATAATGAGTTCTTCCTTCACTTCTTCCTTCTTCTCACTGCGCGAGAAGGAGAAAAGGGGGAAAATTAGTTCTTCTTCTTCTACTTTTTTTTACTTCCTTGCTCCTCACTGTACAAGAATCAGAAAAGGGGGAAATTTGTTATTTTTTTTATCACATTGCACGAGAATAGAATAGGAAAAACGAATGTGATCTTCTTTTCTTCTTCCTCCTTCTCACTGTGCGAGAATGGTAAAAGAAAGAATGAACGAGTTATTTTTCTTCTTAGTCCTCTCCCTTTTTACAGTGCAATAATCGAAATAAGAAAAAAGAGCCGCAGAGCGTCTGGGCTCATCTGCAGGTCTGTTTGCTATCGATTATAAACGTAAAATTTCAAGGTCGTGCCTAGTACCACATTGTTCAGGTGCAGATAAGCGACACGCAGTTGCGACACATCATTGTTAGGACACGCCCCACTATCGCAGATGGAGGGTAGCGGGAGGGTGGGGGAGGGGGGGGGAGGGGGGGGAAGGGGCGGGGGAGGGGTGGGGAGGGGGAAGCGGGTTGACGGTGGGGCGAGCGGGGCTCTATAGCAAAAGCAGTTCACTCCTTTGTTAACAGTCAACAAAATCCATGTTTAACCCCTCTCTTGAGGGTCAAAGGTTATCCGACACTTACTCTTGCATGTCAGCAGAAGGACATTTCATGCGTCCTATTCAATTTAAAGCCATAAAACATGCTAGGTCACCGCTGAAACAAAAAGTTTTCAACTCGCTCCGTCAGGACCATGTCCTCAGAAAAATGTCTAAAATTCTGCCCTGTGCCATTTTGACCTTTGACTCTGTGTGACCTCCAATTTCGGCACAGTGATGCTTTTCCTACCATTAATGCTATACACCGACTATCACGTAGCCTAGGTCGAGCCGTTTTAGAATTGTGCCGCGAATTTTCTGCATTTCCTCCCTATACCTTAAGTTAAGGAGTGAATGTTCTCCCAACTCGTTTTCGGATTACCCCCCCCACGTCCCGAATATCGTGACCGTACGTCGAGCGGTTAAGATTTGTGCCCAACTGTTGACGGACGGACGCACGGACGGACGGACGGACGCACGGACGCACGGACGGACGGACGATCATGCGATTCTACAAGCTGCATCTGACTATGTCAGATGAGCTAAAAACAATTGAGATCCTCTTAACTTCTTCCTCCTAACTGTGGGAGAATCGGAAAAAGAAGTACGAATAAGATTTTCTTCTCATTCCTCATTCACTTTGAAGGCGTCTCCTTGGAATTTACTTTCAACATTCCAGTGTGAGAAACAAAAATTAAAAACTATAAATATTTACAGCTATGGCCGATGCTTTTATCAAACCAACAGGCTTCCTATCAATCTTTGGAGCACTCTGTTCATGGCGCTGTCACACCTTCGTATGAAAGCCAGCGTATACCAACGTATGAAAAATTTGGTGAATATGCTGGCGTACTTTTATGGGTAAGCTTTGTATAAGTTAAGAGCATGCTAAAGCACATTGAAGCACGCTGGGGTGCAAATCCACTTTAGGCACCTTAGGTATCACGAAGTGATGCACAGATTTCTGTGTATCATCAACTGATGCACAGAATTTCCGTATATCAAGGAATGATGCAAAAACCCTAACCCTAACCCTAACCCTAACCCTAACACACTTCGTGATACCTAAGGAGTAAGGTTATACTTTATGAATATGACTTAGGGTTAGGGTTAGGGTTAGGGTTTTTGCATCATTCCTTGATATACGGAAAGTCTGTGCATCAGTTGATGATACACAGAAATCTGTGCATCACTTCGTGATACATAAGGTGCCTAAAGTGGATTTGCGCCGCACGCTGGTATACGTCGTAGTACGGCGAGGTCGTACGTCGTGCGACGGTGATGTTGATACTGCAATGTCTAGTGCGGTTATGATTTGAATCGTTGAGCGGCAGCCTTTTTATAGGTTACGACACGTGATCGTCGGCGATACGCTGCCGCGTATCGCCGTGCATAAGTTAGACTATCGTTGGGCATAAGTTGTGAACGCCAGCAACACGCTAAGCATTCGTTGGTATAAGTTATCTATAAGTTATCAAAACGTTCTATATACGTTACTAATACGTTAAGTATACGTCCAACTCGTTATAAATACGCTATGTATACGCCCAAAATTGAAAAAAACATCGATATTTCAGCGTATGCCAGCGTTTTAGAAAATTTTTGATACGTCGGCATACGCTGGCTAAATCGTCAAGGTGTGACAGGGCCATTACCTGGGTCGCATATATAACAACAAGTGCCGCGGAGCGACAGCGCTCATCTAACGTCTACTGCGGTGACTCTGTGGTGGAGTGGTGGGATTCTAGTAAACCCTGTTAGTCCCAAATGTGTTCACATACGCGTCGAAACAGTGGAATGCACAGGGATGGTATCAGGAACCTTCTCAAAAGAATGTTCGTTGGGATCGTTATGAAAGTTGCCACGAGATGGCGCGTACGTTTAGGTGTCTTCAGATTAAAGATGGAAGCTCCCATCATACGTAGTAGCAACAATAATTTGCAAGACAGAATAGGTAAGCACTCATCCATTTACCTACGCAAGCCTACAGGCTGCAATAGAGAGCTGCCACCTGTAACCAATTAACGCAGGCAAAAACTACACAGTACCACCACCACATGCACTGGCAGTGGCCACTGCCAGTGGCATACGTTACATGTAACATACTGACAGTACAGAATGCCATAGA